TGTTCGGATATGAGTACTAGGCGAGAAAAGGGGGGTGAGAAGAGACAATGCGAGTGAGCGCCAATTAACGAGGCGCTGAGTATCACACGATGTAATGTTAGCCGTGCGACGATTAGAAAGCCACGCGAGGCGAAAACCACGCGAGTTGCCGGTCGCGCACCATCGAGGCAAGACGTCTCGCATGCTCTACGCGAACGAGGCCAGGGCGCCGCAGCTTAAAGCGAGAAAGTTCAATCAAGTTTTGGTGAGAGAAGAAAGCTCCTCCTCACGATTCATGGCCAGGGCGCCTTCAGGTGGGTAATCTGGGCTTACTCTTGGGCTTTTCCTTTACATCACACAAAGTAAAAGTTCTATCAAGTTAATAAGCAAGAGTTTACGTCGGCTTTTGTCAAAAGGTAAATTTTTTAAAGGTTACCTCGTGATTCGCTTTCTCGCTGTTGTAAGACACCGCTAATTGTTACATCTAATAAAAGGCCAAGGACCGGAAATTAATCTGTTATAAGTTACCTTATCAAGCATAGTGTCGTTAATAATAAAAGAAGTGAGTTTTCTAGTATAAGAATAAAATTATAAGTGAATTTTCTACAACGAACAGTGACATTTAAACTATATTAAACTCGAAGCCTTTTAGCGTTATTTCAGCAACTATAGCATGGTTAATAAACTATCTTTTAATTTTTCTTTTGTTTTTATTCACTATTAAGTTCAATTCAATATTTACGATAATAACTTAGTGAGTGCAAAGTTGAAAAGGAGTGAAATTTCGGTGCATTTGATAATTTAGTTTTCGCTTAAAATTGTAATTTCGTCAAAATAAAAACATTGGTTTCAGAGCTTTTGATGCAAAACTAATCTTGTAATAGAAACTTTGATGTATTAAACATTTATTTTTTTTTATAACAACAGTGCTGTGTAGAAGAGTTAATTAACCGGCCTCTGAAATCCCGCAATCCGGCTTCTCAACAACAAACAACCAACAGTTAATTTTACAGTCCACTCGACGTATTTGAACAAAGTCTTTCGAGCCGGATTTGCGGATTTGAGAGAAGATATTTTAGCTCGGACGAGCGAAGAGAAATCTTCAAGGTTAGCGCTGCTCGCTGCTCCCTAGTTAATGTAAACAAAGATCGGAATACGAGCTCGGTAATATCGCACACGTAGAAAAGGCCAAGGGGAGAGCGCCAGCAAGCAAACGTTCGAGAAGAATAGCCTAAGTACAAGAAGCCACGGAAAAATACGCAATGAATATTTTGCTGTTCAAGTAACTACACCGCGCGCAACACCGTTGATATACCAGAATAAAGCGTCGGTTTCAAAACAAGGCGACAAATTCCAGAAAGGTCGTCGTGAGTAGTTTAAGCAGTGTATAACAGTGAAACCGATAACTTTGAAACTTTTCGTTCGACTATTGACTTTAATTTTAGAATTTGAAGAAAATCACCAAAATAATAGAATTAAGTTTAGATTATCAAATGCTATCGTTATTATCAAAAGCAAGATAACTATTGTTTATCTATGTCGTTAGCAAAACTTAAAGAATTATAAATCAAATTTACTTAAAGATAATTGTTCGCGTTATAAAACAGTAAATTTTTTTTTGTAAATAGCGCGTCATCCTTTTGAGCGTTATTCTATTAAAGAAATCACATCAATTTTAAATACGATCGAAGACAATCGTTAGATCACACGATCAGAAGTTTTTTTTTTCTATATCGAAACGCCAAAATTTATAACGATAGTTATCAATAAGCACTAGTCTTTAATAGATTAACTGATCAAAATAAATATTGTTATAACAGTGGAGTCGAGCAATTATATTCGGCTTTCGATATTAGTTAAGGCTTTTCGATTATTTATTTAATTTTTTTTTTTTTGGTATTATTTCAAACGAAAACTCTTCTAGTTAGTAAGTATTTGATGTAAAGACTTCAATTTAAGTTTTGATATTATTACAAAGTTTTTGCTAGATAAAGGATATAATTGAATTGGGTCTTTGCTATTTTACAATATTTCGTATTCTTATATTGTTATTTATCATTTTTTTAGAATTAAGAGCATTCATACTGTAACTAGATTAAGTATAATATCTCTTCTCACCGACCAAAGGTAATGGGATTTTTGAAATAGCAAATTTTATAATTTTGGAATTTAAAGGATTTTTTTTTTTTTCTTTCTCTTTTTTCGAACGTTTAGCTGATCTGATCGTGAACCACCAGGAGTTAGTCTCATGCCCATACCCTTATTTCCATTTTGATTAGTTTACTTTTCTCGTAACTCACCAAAAATGGAGAATTTCGTAAAAGCTCAAGAAGCTCTGCGCCAACCTATCGCAAACGCATTTGCTAATTTTAAGAAAGTAGGGCAGAGTAAGATGACAAAGGGCTTAGCTAAATCTCACATCGCTCGACTTAACGAGAGGTATGATCGGTTAAAACAGAATCATGGAAATATTAGCAAGGCCCGAGATTACGATTCCCAACATGTTTATGTAACTTCAGATCTTTTTGAGACTATTTCAGATGAATATTATAACTCCTTAGGGGCTTTTAACGACTTCATGGAGCAATTTGAAACCCCCGCCTTATTGGACGAGTCGCTATTGAATCGAACGGGTCAAGCTCCCAGCTCATTCAACCCCCTCCCAAAAGTAGATATTCCAAATTTTTCAGGTGATTTAAATGATTGGGAGCCGTTTAAAGATTTATTTCGCTCCATGATTCACCGTCGCACTGACATAACTCCTGTAGTCAAGTTTCATCATCTCCGCTTTCATCTTAGTGGCGAATCGGCTGAGTTAATTAAAAGCTTGCTGATTACAGTTGATAATTACGAGGTAGCTTGGGACATTCTTACGAAAAATTATGGTAGTCAAAGATGATTAGTGTCAGCTTACGCAAAAAAAATATTGGCGTGCCGTCCTATGAAATCAGATTCTTTACAGGAACTTAAGCGACTTCAAACAGAATCGCTCGCGCCTTTAGACTCTCTAATCGCGATTGAAAGAAGCGTTGGCGACGCGGATTTCTTCATTGAATTTGTTGTCAGCAAGTTCGATTTTTACCTCAAACGCGATTGGCAGCGATTTATCGGTGCAGGCACCTCCCCGCCTACTCTTGAACAACTTCGAACTTTTTTCTTCAATCAGACAATGCTATTAGAGGGAATAGGAGAACGTGGTTCCGCTGTCAAATCCACTCTCAAACACTCCACTGTTCACGCTTCTAACGTAGAAAAATCGCAGTGTACAGTGTGTGAAGAAGCTCATTCATTGAGACATTGTCCAAAATTTCGTGAGAAAACCGCAACAGAACGAAAGAACGTGGTTTTCCAGTCCCAGCGTTGCTTGAATTGCTTAGGGATGCACTTTGTTAAGGAGTGCCCTTCTCCTAGCCGTTGTAGAAAGTGCAGTCACAAGCATCATTCCTTATTACATGTTGACAAAATGGAGAAAACTACAGCCGCTCATCAGGCTAATGCCGAATCTTCAGATTCGAGCTCAGAAGAAGAAATTTCGACCTCTGTGAATCAAGCGATTGAGACCGTGCGTAATCGTAGCTCAGGAGTTCTACTGTGTACTGCTCGCGTTCGAGTCAAGTGCTGGGACGGCGAAGAGCTTCTCGTTAGAGCCTTGATAGACCAAGGTTCTCAATGCTCAATGATCTCGCAATCCCTTAGTGACTTGCTTAAACTGAAACATCAAAGGATTCGAACGCGACTTGTAGGACCCGGAGAGATAGTTATAGGGCAACCGCGTTTTTCTGTGCAATNGTCGGCTTTTGTCACAAGGTAAATTTGTTAAAGGTTACCTCGTGGTTCGCTTTCTCGCTGTTGTAAGACACCGCTAATTGTTACATCTAATAAAAGGCCAAGGACCGGAAATTAACCTGTTATAAGTTACCTTATCAAGCATAGTGTCGTTAATAATAAAAGAAGTGAGTTTTCCAGTATAAGAATAAAATTATAAGTGAATTTTCTACAACGAACAGTGACATTTAAACTATATTAAACTCGAAGCCTTTTAGCGTTATTTCGGCAACTATAGCATGGTTAATAAACTATCTTTTAATTTTTCTTTTGTTTTTATCCACTATTAAGTTCAATTCAATATTTACGATAATAACTTAGTGAGTGCAAAGTTGAAAAGGAGTGAAATTTCGGAGCATTTGATAATTTAGTTTTCGCTTAAAATTGTAATTTCGTCAAAATAAAAACATTGGTTTCAGAGCTTTTGATGCAAAACTAATCTTGTAATAGAAACTTTGATGTATTAAACATTTAATTTTTTTTATAACAACAGTGCTGTGTAGAAGAGTTAATTAACTGGCCTCTCAAATCCCGCAATCCGGCTTCCTAACAACAAACAACCAACAGTTAATTTTACAGTCCACTCGACGTATTTGAACAAAATCATCCTGTCTTCATACCTTTTGCGCCAACCACCAAACCGCCATTACTTATAAGCATGCATGCTTATTAAATCCACGTGGTAAGGTATTGAGTGTGTAGTTTTGCAAAAAATTATCCTCAAGGATACATNGACAAATCATCCTGCCCTCAACACTGTCTCCATGCCTTTTGCGCCAACCACCAAACCGCCATCACTTATAAGCATGCATGCTTATTAAATCCACGTGGTAAGGTATTGAGTGTGTAGTTTTGCAAAAAATTATCCTCAAGGATACATATATTAGTACGATTTTTATATTGTGTCCATTAAAACATTTTGCTTCCAATTTTGTAAAATGAGCTGTGTTAACCAATTTGAAAAAAATTAAAGCTTGAAGTAAGGTTCACTGTATAATTCTTTTTACAATGTTTTCACTTTTGAAATTTTCTGGAGATAATTTGTTTCACGTAAATAAAACATCAAATTTGCGTCTCTGAAACAATCAAATTTTGGGAATTTATGGTGGAATAAGATACCCATGTCATATTCTTGCCAAGAATGGTACGTGTATTAATATTGATATTTGCATTTTTTTTTTAATTTATTAGATATTGAATAAAATATCCATCTACAGATGATAAAAGCATTCTTCTCGATGTGGCTGAAACCAATAATCAATCAATACCTTCTCTGCGTGTTCAAAAATTAAGTACTCAGAATCTTCCTATTGCTACAAAAGAAGGTAAATAAAAGTTTATATCCCTTTGGTACCTTATCTATCATCATGGTAAATTTCCTAAAGGATCTATAGCCAAACACTTAGCGACTTGTACAGAGAAAAAGAATACGAAGGGATTAAATAGTACCGTCCTGCATAATATGGTAGTTGGTGATGTTCACCAAATCGCAAGTGAATACTTAATACCAATAGTTGCTAAACTGTTGACTGATAATATAGGAACGATAGCTAAACGTGATGAACTAATCGTTGTGTATGGAAATTATCGTGCATTGAAATTTCGATCTCAGCCACACAATTTTGATCAAAAAAGAGCAGAAATGAGACTTTTATCACGTATTCTTATAGAATTAAGGAGTATGCAACCAGAAATTAAAAAGTTTATTACTGCTATCGATCCTCAATATGTACAATTATTTCTAGACGTTGCTTATAAAATTGGAAACTTTGACATAATAACAAGTAAGTTTCGTACACCATCACGAGCTCGAGACATGGGTAGGGTAGTCTTGGAATGTGCGGAAATCTGGAGTGGAGAGCTGATTGCACGTAAAAGCGATAATTCTGTCAAGAAAAATATCGAGGACTTCCAAAAGCTTTTTAAATTGAGGTTTTCTACTCTTATTTCTAAAACAGTCGCAGAGTCCCAAACTTATAAAGAGCTTCAAACAGGTATCAATAAACTTTCATCAGTTAATGATATAAAAACATTCAAAGATCATGTTAACAAGGCTCGTGATGATGCATTTGAAAAACTAAAGGGTGGATTTGATTACACCCAATGGATTCAGCTTCTTTATGCAACTTACGTATCAATCTTCATCTTAAATAGAAGAAGACCTGGAGAGTTAGCCAGACTTCTTATAATCACCTATGAAAAATGTAAGGAAACAATCAGCAATGAAACTAATAGTCAAATCTATGCCAAAATGTCTGTTGCTGATAAAAAAATTGCAAAAGAATATTGCCGAGTCATAACTCGTGGCAAACAGAATAAAAAAAAGTCACCCATTCTATTAAATAGGCAGATGGATGCCTGCGTTGCAGAAATAATTAAGTATCGCAGTGAAGCGGGAGTAGTTAAAGATAATCCATATGTCTTTGGTATACCGGGTCTTGACACCCAGCGTCAGCATCTGAATCCAAACCCAATAATATCAAAGTACGCTACTGAATGTGGCGCACAATTTCCAGAACTACTTCGATCTACAAAGCTACGAAAGCATATTGCTACAGTTGGAGTAACCTTGGATTTAGATCAATTGCAAATTTCATACTTGTCAAAATTTATGTCTCATTCAGAAAAAATTCATCGTGATTACTATGAGCAGCCTGATAGTACCAAAGATATATTACATGTCTCAAAACTTTTGGAGTATGCCAGTGGTCAATTTGTAGAGTCAGATGATGGCAAAAGAACAGTCGTAGATGATGAAGCATCAGGAGATGAAGATGATCCTGATTGTAGTACAAATAGTAAAGTACAAACAACATTAGCTACGGCAAAAAGTTAGTATTAATCTATGATATGTTATGTTAGTTTATTATATGTTATGTATTATTTGTTAGTTTATTTATACCTATAAGACAAGATCTAGTCCAACTGATACTTTTATCTTGACGAGTTGTTTGATCGTCTTTATCATTGTCATTATCTTCGTTATCATCACAACCATAACCATTAGTTCTTTTGTTTATTCCTTAGATATTTTGTTTTCTTTTAACACGCTTTTATTTATCACCATAGACTCTTCATTGAAACTTTTTCTTTCCCCTTACCTTGTGCCTGATGTTTTACATACATTATATGCGCAGTAGATTATTTGTAATTAACTAATTTTTACAATATATATGTCCCATACAGAGAATTCAAATCATGTCTCTTCAAAAAGGACACCTACAACTGGAGAAAGGAAGAGATGGGATGCTGAGAGTCGTAATATAATACTGAAACACTTCAAAAAAGATAGTTTAAAGAAAATTTCAATACCTGGAGATAAAATTCAAAGCGTAATCGATTCACATCGGGTTCTTAAAGGTCGAACAGTACCACAAATTCGATCTTTCATACAAAGTTATTTAAGCCAAGAAATAATTGTCAACAAAAGAAGCCGAAATGATGACAGTGATGATAATGATACTGAAAACCTTGAGCCTAAAAAAAAACGACAAAAAAGAAATACTGTTCCTAGTAGCGTCTACGTTTACTTTGAAGACCACATTGATAATAAAACATTACCAAACATCGACGAGATTGCTGATGCAATAAAAAAGTCACCAAAACTTTCTAGTTATAAGCCATGTGATATTCGAAAGTTAGTCAAAAAAGCTATTGAATTAAATGACTAAAATATGTTAATATTATGATATGCTTAATAAACTTTTTTTAATACAAGCATATGACTATTCCAAACGTGGTTCTATGTTTTAAGTTGGTTTTTTATTTTTTCTCATAGTCAGCTGCTTTAAAACAAATTTTATTGAAGCAAGCAGCTTGTAATTATTTATTTTATATATTTT